AACTAGCGATATTCCGAAATAACTTAGTCCACGTCTACACAGCAGGCAGTTATTTCGAAATAGTGTCAAAATACCGTCAAGCTGGAGGACTTTTTACTCCAATTCCTGTGACTCTCATTTTACAAGGACTAAGGGAAGTCAGAGGGAAGAGGGCTCTGATTCGAAATAAGATACGCAATTGATATAGCTCAATTTGTGTAGCTTATTTCAAGTTAAGCCCTGCAGTGTAGATGCACCCTGGAAGGGGTTGCAAGCACTTTGGAGGACAGGATTAGGATCCCAAATGACTTTGAGAAGAATTGGTTTGAATTCAGCAAAATGAAATTCAGTAAAGACAAATACAAAGTACTCTACATGGGAAAGAAAAATCAAATGCACAGCTACAAAGTGGAGAATAACTGGCTAGGCCGTAGAACTCCTGAAATGCATCTGGGACCAGTACAGGATCACATATTGAATGTGCCAACAGTGTGATGCCTTGCAAAAATGGCAAATGTCATTCTGGGAGGCACTGAGAGGACCGTGGCCATTCTGGGAGGCATTAACAGGAGTGTGGGCATGTCAGAGACAGGAAGTAACTGTCCCGTTCTACTCAGCATTGGCGAGGCCTCAGCTGAAAGTGTTGCATAAATTGCAAGGTTTGTCCCCTGGAGGCTAGTCTAATTTGCCCACAGAAGAGAGTCACACTTTTAGGCTGGGTCCAACTCAATTTTATTACTTTCAAGTAATGTTCGGCTAAGAAGCTCAGTGCTCAAAGCAAAGCCAACCCCCAGCATCGGGTAAGCAAGGGGTCTTATAGGGTTAGCATCCTTCCTGGTTTATGTGCCTTAACATGATTGGTTACCTTATTTTGCTTCTAATATCCTTGGAAGTCAGGTTTGTCTCCAAATAAGGTTAGCTGCACTATGCAAACCTGCTGACTCCGAGGTTACAGTTGTTTGTTACATTTATTCGCTTGCTGAACAATAGGTGGGTTACACTTCCTACTTGCCTGTTTGACCCTGTCACAAGTGAAATATATATCTACATTCTTACTCAAGAAGGAAACTGGTTTCATTTCCTGCTACAAAAGTACTGTGCCCGATTTTGAGTGCCACACTTTACAAAGATGTGGACAAATTGGAGAGAGTTCAGAAGACAGAAAAAAAAAAAAAGATAAAACCTGGCTTTACAATGAATCTTCGGGGCTCTCACTTGTTCATCGATTGGAGTCAGCAGACTCTCTGCCTCCTTGGAATGAGATGTAAGAAACCAGTTTTTCTATTCTGGAGTTGGCTTCTTGGATTTTCCTGGCCTCTCCAGTTCTCAGCAGTAACCGCTGACACAGGCTGGGCAGCAGCACCATGGCCGATTATGTCTTGGAGCCTAAATATCTGGCTCCATAAGAGTGTGCGGCTTGGAAACGACCTTTTCTCTACCTGTTCCAAGTCAATCGCCCCTCTGGCTGATCAGAGGCCAGCAGGCTGATGTCCGTCTGTCCATCCCACAGCCCCATGGAGCCCAGGACGGGATACCATCCCAGAGAAAAAGGGCCACAGGACAGAATCCCAGAGGGGAAGGAGCCAAGAATGCCAATAGGCCTTTATTAAGGGTGTGGTTTGACAGAGGGTCATGGCTTGGTAGCTGGGGTTTAGTCTGGGATTTGCCTGCCAGGAAAGGGGCGGTGACGGATTGCTAGGTGTATTTCTGGCACTGGTTTCACATTTAGCGCAGAGTGGGGGAGGGCCGAAGACCCAAAAAGCCGTAGGACCCCTCCTCCCACCTCCTTCCCCTGGCAACGTTCACGGCTGGATTCTTATTACGTTCATCCCCGTCGCTCCAGCCAGGCCTTCTGTCTGAACGAGCTCCGATCCTCAGCGCTTTCCTGCATTCTCCATCTCGTGACAGCTCTTCCTCTCTCTGGTCTTATGTCTGCCCTGGTCCGCTGTACTCACTGTGCTTTCCTATCCCCAGGGACGTGCCGCACGAACCCCCTCCCTCCGGGAGAACCGGCCTCCATACAGAGGAGCCATCTTATGACAATGGTAAGGGGAAATAAGATGCGGCTTGTGGCCTGTGTGTGGCCCACACCAGAGAGGGGAGGCAGTGCCCTGAGGCCTGGGTGCTCAGCTGCTCTCTCTGTTGCTGTCCCTTTGTGCACACACAGCCTGTGGGCCCGCTGGGAGGCCCTGGTCTGACCCTGGCTGCTGTTCCAAGGGGGCCAAGGCCTTGTCTGTACTAGAGCACGGTTCTCTGCCTTCCCTGGAGCAGGAGCTACATTTTCATACCAGGACCCCTTGAATTCCCCCATCCCTCCCAGCTGAGATCCTACCCCACCCCTCTCCTATGAGCAGGGAGCAAGCGCCTGGTTGAGAACCCTGGTGCTAGAGAGCTGAGCTGATGCTGGCAGGGTTGAGTCACTCTCTGAGTCCTTGCCTGCCCACGCCTCTGTCATCCTTTCAGTGGCAATGCCCATGGGTCTGGGGAGGGAGGAGGGTTTGGGCCACTTCAGGAAGCTGGCTCTACCCTGGCACTGAATGGGGGCAGGTGCCAAAGGTCCGACTCACTCAACACTTAGCCCTGCTGTAGCCTGGTCTGATCCCGCTGCGACCTGGCGAGCCAGCATGGGTGGCAGGCACAGGACAGCAGCTGCCGGGAGAGCAGATGATACCTAGTCCAGGCACTTCCTCGAGGGCCATAAGGTGTAAGTGAGGCCCGGCTTTGCTTTTACAGTGTATCCCTTGGCTCAGGAGCATGAAGGAGACGTGGTCTATACATCTGTCGACATCTGGAAAAGAAATGGGGGTGAGTGGAACAAAACGGTGTCTTGCCTCAAGAGGCCACGAAGGATTGAACAGCGATGGGAGGCATGAGCCAGCCAGATACAGCTGGCATTTTGCTCCCTTGCCCTGCGACTTTCTGGGCCAAGTAACTGGTCCCAGGTGAAAGCCCGTGCCACTGTACAGGAGTAATTCATAAAGTGTAAAAATGGCTGAGAGCTGACAAATGGACCAGAACAGTCTGTGAGCCCCAATGATCTGAACAGGGTGAAATCAGGGCCGGATTAAGGGGGGGCGGCTAGCTGGACAGCTGCCCGGGGTGCCAACCTATGGGGGCACTTGATGGCAGCTGTAAGCGGGGCCATGCGCCCGGCTGCATGGCGCCCCTTAGAGCTGCCATCAGGTGCCACGTGCCTGGGACTAGGGGCCATGTGGCACCCCTTAGAGCTGCAATCAGGTGCCGCGAGCCCGGGACCGGGGCCCGCATGGCGCCCCTTAGAGCCGCCATCAGGCACCGCGCGCCCGGGGGCCGCATGGTGCTCCTTAGAGCTGCAATCAGGCACCGCGCACCCGATTGCAGCTGTAAGGTGCGCAGCGCGTCGGGGGGCGGGGCCACGTGTGTGCCGGGGGCAGAGCCGCGCATGCATCGCGCACCCGCTGCCCGAGGCACAGGAATGGCTCGAGCCGGCCCTGGGTGAAATCCTGAAGAATAAGAGCTCTCACTCTGGCTTGTATCTGTTTCCATCACCTCGCTCAGACTCCATAGACACTTTAGGCTTCCAAGTGACCCAGAAACAAGCCAGGCTTCTAGTTGTATTGGTTGTGTCAGTGACTGGTTTCCGTGTGTGCCGGGCCAGAATGAACACCGCTATTATCTGCAGGGTTGTGTTCCTCGAGGGAGGAATTCCCTCTACACAAGGCCTGGGCACTTCTCAAGTCACGTTTATAGCCTACCAGGCCACACACTTTTCTCCAACCACACCAGAAACGCAGTCACTTGGGAGTAGTGCACTGCTAGCTGTGTAAATGACAGAGCTTCAGATCAGAGTGGTGAGAGACCGGAAACGGAGGACTACTACATCCAAATCACCTCTTAGAGGGGTACTACTGTCAATACGAATTTTTAAAATTTGATTTATTTTAAACAATTTTGTTTTGGGAGAGAGCCTCCTTTAAGCCAGTGGTTGCCAACCTTTCTTATACCGGGAAATGGCAAATCCATTCACAAACTTTTGGCAGATCAGTAACATTTTATATGCACATTTGCATATTCATTATGCAAATTATGAATATTTCAATATGGAAATAAAATGTTGCTGGTTCACAGTATAAAAAAACTTCGCCCCCAGAGCCAGCCCTAACCCCTAGAGCCCCTCACTCCTCCACTACCCCCCAGCACCAGTCACTGACCCCAGAGTCCCAAGATGGGAAAAGTGACCCAGACTTTTGACACCCTTCAGTGATGGGCTGGCAGGGCAGGGTTTTGACATCTTGAATAGACTCACCCTGTTTAGCATTTAGGTTGGTGGATGTAACTTCCCAGGTTCGGGCATGGCCAGCGCCCCATGTCAGAGCCCTAGGATCCTGAGCACCTCAGCTTTGTGTCTCACACCCATCCAGTCGCAGAGAGGCAGGGGATGGGAGATCAGGGTGAATGTTAATGCCTAGTTCTTATCCCTCTCCATTCCTCTTACAGACAAGCCCGAGGGAACTCTGCCAAGGGACAATGTAAGTGCAACACCCCACCCCTACACCCCAGCTGTGCTGCTCCTTCTGTTCTCTCTCTTGACTTTATCCCTTGGTCCCCTACTGATTGTCCGTGTGCCGTCTCCAGGAGGAATACTGTGTCACCTACACTGTGCTCTCCAACTGCAAGCCCACCGGGGAGTCAGCTGCAGGAGCGGGGGCTCCAGAAAGGGGACCCCTACCCACGAGTGACATTTATGAAAACGTTCCCCACCTGTGACCTGCGAGTGACCCTCAGCCCATCCCCTGGTCCAACCCGGGGAGCCTGGCTGCCTTGTTAACCCTTCGCTTCCCTGCATGGCACGGAATGCAGCACATGCAGGCCGGGCCCATGGGGACCTTTTCCCTGTCTGGTCCTCTCTGCCTTGGGAGTGACGGCCAGAGCCAGGACAAAGGCCAACACTCTGGGACTGCACGGCTGCAGCTGCCCAGTAAGGAGATGATTTGGTGACGTGCTACGTTAATCGCCTCCCCGAAGAAGGTGCCTGGACAGCAGCCCTGATCTCTAACAACACCTGTGATGGGTCAGTGCCTCTCGGGTGTCCATCCCAGACGGTTGCTGGCATGGCCTTTGTGCATGGAGGATCTGGATGGTGGGATGTGTGACATCTGGGCTAGTCCACTCTGGCGCCAATAAAGATTGGATTGGTTACATGATTTGTCTTTGAGATTCTTGCATTGTGGGGGACTGTCCCACAGGAAGTGCCCTCTGCTTGTCCTGCTCTCCTAGCCCAGGGCTTCCCAGCCAGTCACGGCCCTGTGCAAGGACATGCTGAATCGAAACCCATCCATGGCCTTGGCCTGGAACTAAAGAGATCGGAGTCAGTAAAGGATCAAAGTAACACCCAGGAGGCAGGTTACTTGGGCTGATCATTCAGGGACTGCAGAAAACTGCACGTGAGAGAGAGATTTTTCCACTCGGCTTGGCTATCATGATACAGCAATGATACAGAGAGTCGCTGGGACAATAACCTGTTAGCTCTCAAAGTAATAACTAATAATTCTTAAATAAACTATATAATTAATACACAATCTAATGATCAGGCAACACAGAGTTTGACTGATAATGGTTTTCAGCTTTGTGAAATCGATCCCATTAAAGCAAGTATAGATATTACTGATCTGAATGTTATTCTGCTCGCACATCAGAAATATTATCAAGATCACTGCATATATAGATGCGGATATTTGTGGATATAAAGTCGATATCTGCGTATTTGCAGAACTAAAGATAGGATAAGAAGCAATGAGTTTAAAATGCAGTTTAGGTTGGACATTAGGAAAAACTTTCTATCGAGGTAGTTAAGCGCTAGAATAAATTGCCTAGAGAGATTGTTGAATCTCCATCATTTGAGATTTTTAAGCACAGATTAGACAAACACCTGTCAGGGATGGTCTAATAGTCCTGCCATGAGTGCAAGGGACTGAATTAGGTGACTTCTCAACCTGCCATGAGTGCAAGGGACTGAATTAGGTGAATTCTCAAGTCCTCTTTAAAGGGTGCATCTACACTGCACCATAACTTGAAATAAGAGACACAATTTGAGCTACACAGCAGCAAAATTAGAAATAAAGCGCTGTTCTGAAATGTCCCTTACTCCTCATAGAATAAGGTTTACAGAGACGTTAGAATAGCGAGCCCAAAATAACGGGTATCCCAAAATACTCGCCCTTACTCCTCATAGAATAAGGTTTACAGAGACGTTAGAATAGCGAGCCCAAAATAACGGGTATCCCAAAATACTCGGGTATCCCAAAATAGCGTTGCAGTGTAGATGTAGCCTTCCAGTCCTATGATTCTATCTTAGAGCAAGCCCTTGAGTAGCAACAGAGGATAAACAAGGCATCCAGCATTCCTCTCAGCCTCCCTCCTGCTCCCCAATTCCCTCTGCTCCCCCACAACCTCCCTGCTGGCCCCATACCCCGCTGCTTGTTCTCAGCACACCTCCTGCCCATCACAAGCCCGCCCCACCATCCTGTCAGCCTCCCTCCTTTCCTCTGCAGCCTCCTGACCATCACTTGCCCCTTTATTTATCCCATTCCCCTGCACTCCCTAAACTTGCCTCCTGCACCTCTTAGTGCCCTACTCCCCTCACTCTACGCAGCCCCATGATTAGGGTCTCTGTTTCTCTTTACACTATCTGTGCAGCCCCCTGTACCATAGACCTGCAGTCATGTTGCCTGTGGGCTTGTCTTCAGTCTAATTAAATGCAGTGCAAGGCATCAGCAGTATTTACTCAGTGCCACATCATACCCCTGGCAGACAGGTTGCAGGGCAATGGCCATGTTTTGCTGGCTTCAGCCCCACTTACAGTAATGGGAGATGGGGGCCATCTTGAATAAGGGAAAAGTCACCACCTGTTGACGCCTTTCATCCTGTTTTCATAAGGCAGGTAAAACCCCTCCTGAAAGTGCAGGAGTTGTGATCTCTGGCCTCCTGCTGTCTGGAGGCAGCAAGGCCCCAGGCTCCACTTGTGCCACGCCCAGTGGCTCTGTTGTCCCAAGACTGACTGACCATCTTTTCAAAACGCAAAAGCAGGTCACATGCAGGAGCCTGGGCCCCTCTGTGTCCTCACCCCCACTCCCACCTCTTCCCCAGAGGCCCTGCCCCCAGTCAAGCCAGAAGCTGGAGCAGGGTCATGGTAAGAGCCTCCCAGAGAGCCCCAGGCTGCTGTGGGGAGTTCCAGATCCTTCATCTGCCTTGGCAAGGGGCAGAGACATGGGCTGCAGGCTGCTCTCAGGCACCTTGGCCTCCCAGTCAGGACAAATGGAAGGTCTGGAGCTCCTCGCAGCCACCCAGGCTCCGTAAGCGGCTCATACCATGGCCTGGCTCCAGCTTCTGCCCTGGTCAGGGGTAGGGTTTGGGGGAAGAGGAGGAGCAGTGGTGGGGCCTCATGGCAAAGGGAGCCTGAGCCCCCCCAGCCTCAGGCAAGCACAGAGTGGTGCCACAAGGATCCTGGGAAAACTCCTGTCCCGGAGTTATTCAGACCAGGACTCGAACTCTCAATTTCAGGACTGTTCCACATTATTCAGGACAGGTGGTCACCCTAGTGTGGTCTGAGAGCCCTCAAGTAAAGCGATACCTCTGCACTCATCTCCCTCCCTCCTGGGATTCCCAGCAGCATGAGTTCACCTGAGACCCTCCTATGGCCATGAGGCAACCTCTTGGTACCCACTGTTGTTTGCAGCCATTGATCCCCAGCTTCATTTCCATGGGACCCACATCATATTGAGCTTTTTGGTTTGTTGTCTCTGCCTCATTATATGTCCCCACATTCCTAGTGACGGACTTTGGTTTCTAACAGTTTCTGAGGGGTAACTATGTTAGTCTGTAACTTTAAAAACAACAAGTGGTCCTGTGCCACCTTAGGGCACATCTACACAGCAGGGCAAAAGTCAAATTAAGCTACGCAACTTCAGCTACGGCAATTGTGTAGCTGACGTTGAAATAGCTTAATTCAGCTTTTGGCGGCAAACCCTCTGTCCCCCTCCTGCACCCATATCCTTTCCCAGATCTGGCACCCCAATCTCCTGCCCCAGATCACAATCACCTCCTACCCTAGGTCACAACCCAAACTCCTGCACCCCGGTCCCCTCCCCTAGGTCACAAACTAAACTCTTGCACCCCAGTCCCCTGCCCTAGGTCACAACCGCATCTTTCACCCAAATTCCCTCCCAGTCTCCACTCTCCCTTCTGCACCCCAATCCCTTACCCCAAGCTCCCTTCTGCACCCTACCTCCATCACAGACCCCGAACCTCCTCCTCCCTCCTCCATGGAAGAGGGCAGCCCTCGATCACTTTCCAAAATCTTGGAGTGACCCCCTCTCAGAAATGATTGTCACCCCTACTTTAATGTTTAATGTTTTAAACATGCTTTGCTGAAATTTTATTTTGACAAACCACAATTGTGTATATCACACAAAAAGTCAAAACAAATTGCACCACAATTTTGCCTAAAAAGGTGCAATTTTTAATGATAAAAAAGAGAGTTGATTTTAAAAATTGCAAGTGTTTAAAAACACTTAAGCACTCTTTTTAGAACTTTGAAACATATCAGTCAAATTATTTATGTGTCAGTGTTATTCTTGTTTTTTGAAAACATTTAATGGAAAAACTGCTCACTGCACTAGATTTTTGATAGAAATAAATTTTAAGATGAGGCTCAAAGTAATTGATAGATAATAAGGGCAGCTTGAACAGCAGGTGTGGCTAACCTTCGTTTTGTTTTCCTGCAAATTACTGCAGTCTGGGTTTTTTGCTCATCCAAAACAAAGTACATTTAGATTCAAAATAAGATACGTTTCTTAGCATCCTCCCAAGAGTATTATTATCATGAGCATATTATTACAGATTGAACCTCTCTAATCCAGCACTCCCTGGTCCAGCAACATCCTTGGTTCAGCATGATTTTAGTTAGTTGGTTGTCTGTTTATCATGGGCGTTGCCAAGGTTCCCATGGTCTCATAAAGTTTGTTTATAGCCACCGGTTCTGGCTCTCAGTGGTCTGTGCTATTATTTAGCTCTAATTTACACCTACATGTCTTCTAAAAGCAATGTAAGCAGTGGAAGCGTGGGTAATACTGCTACAAAATATTGACCTCCCACAGTTCAGCAAATTCTCTAGTTCAGCACCAGTCAAGTCCCAAGGATGCTGGACTTGAAAGGTTCAACCTGTAGTAATACTAAGCAGTACTCACCTACATTCATCAGGGTATTTCTTGCTGCTTTTGCAGCACTCGGCAACTCCTGCTCTTGTTGTATAGAGACTTGTAATAAGGAATGGAAACCCTAGTTCTGCGAGATCTGCTGGATCCTGGCCCCTCTGCAAGGCTCTAATAAACCATGGCACCAGGAATAGTCCGATGGTGACCTGGGTGCAGAACTCTGCAGTCCCTCTGGAATCTCTGGTTGAGTATCTCTGGATGACAATATAGCATACTATAGCATAGCCTGGAAGTGCCAAGCACTTTCATGTGGGCTCAAAGAGCTCTGGTGCCACCTAGTGCCTAAGAAAGAAATGCTGCCCACAATGCCTCTGCAAAATGCTGCTAATTGAGCTTGGCTCAATTCACACAGGTATCCTGTCCCTACTCTCCCCAATTTCAATGGACATTAGGAGCCTAAATAGCATTGAGGATTTTAGCCTTAACGTGTCTTGGCCTTTACAGCATCCTCTAGTGAAGAGTTCCAAATGTGGACTGTGAATTGGGTGAAGAAGTACTTACTTTTGTTTGTTTTAAACCTGTTACCTGTTAATTTTTTGTGTGACCTTAGCTCTTGTAAAAAACAAACAAACAAACAAACAAAAATAACCAGTGAGTGGTCTGTAGCACCTTAGAGGCTAATATATATATATATATATATATATATATATATAATAATAAGCGTTCACGCGCGCAA